TGAGGAATAGAAGGCACATTCCTTAATTTTGTAAAAGCTATATAAAACAAGCTTATAGACAGCATCACACTAATTGGGGAAAAATGAAACTATTTCCTCTAAAATCAGGAATGAGAAAAAGGTGTCCACTCTTACAACTCTTATTCAATATAGTACTGGAATTTCTAGCCAGAGCAATAAGACAGGAGAAAGAAATAAAGCGCATTCATATAGGAAAGGAAATCTCAAATTTTCCCTATTTTCAGAAGACATGAACTTATACCTAAACACTCTAACAAACCTTCTTGAATCTCATAAACACATTTAGCAAAGAGGCAGGATCCTAAATCAATACACAAATATCAGTTGCATTTCTATACTCAATCTACAGCCTGAGAAAGAAACCAGGAAAACAATACCATTCATTATAGCTTCAAAAAATATGAATAACCAAGAACAAATTTAACAAAGGAAATGAATGACCTATACAATAAAAATTATAAATCACTAAATAAAGAAATTAATGGATATTCCATGTTCATGGATCAACAGAATCATTAATGTGACAATGACTATCCTCCCTAAGCAATTTATATGTTCAAAGCAATCAGCATCAAAATTCTAACGATGTTTTTCACTGAGTGAGAAAAATCAACCTTAAAGTTCATATGGATGCAAAATGGACCTTGACTAGACAAAGTAATTGTGAACAAAAAGAGTCACACTGGAGGTATCACAATTCTAGGCTTCAAACTATGCTACAGAGCAATAGCAATAAAAACAGTGTATTGCTGGCATGAAAACAGACATGAAGAACAACAGAAAACAGTAGAAGACCCAAAGACAAATCCACACAGCTAACACCATCTCGTTTTCAACAAAGGAACCCAAAATATGGGTTGGAGAAAAGATAAACTCAAATGGTGCTAGGAAAACCTGGAGAAGATTGAAACTAGTTCCCAGTCTCTCACCTTGTAGTAGTTTCTTCACAGTGAGAGAGAGAGAGAGAGAGAGAGAGAGAGAGAGAGAGAGAGCGAGAGAGAGAAGGCATGATTGTATTAGTGGAGGCAAGAGAGGAAAAAGATGATAAAGAATGAATAACATTAAAAATACTGCATGAGTGTTTGAAGAAAGTACAATGAGATGCATAGTGAGGTTTTGTTTAATGGGGGAGCAAGGCAACAGAGAAACAGTAAGTAACAGTGGGGGTTAATCAGAGTAAAGTGTAATATGTGTGAGAAATGCCAAGGCAAAACCTCCTTGAACAATCAATATACAATGTAAAAACTGAAGAACAAAAAAATGAAACAGGTTCTACAGGGGTGGTAGCCAGAGGCAGGGCAGAGAGTGAAGAGAAAATGAAGGAGTATTCATATGGTGGATGTATTTCTATATGTGTATCAAATTAGAACAAGGAAAAATGTTCTAGGAATTGGGGATGTGGTGAATGATGGAAGGGGTAAATCTAATTAAGATAGGGGTAATGCTAAATAAGACACATGGTAAGCCTGGCACTGGTGGCTCACAACTGAATCATAACTACTTAGGAGGGAGACATCAGGAGGATGGCAGTTTAAAGCCCACCCAGGGCAAATAGTAAATGAAAACCCACTATAAAAAGTGCTGGTGGCCCTGAGATCAAACTCTACCACTGAAAATAAATATATGATATATTTTAATCACAGATGCAAATAACACAATGAATCATCTTGTACAACTATTATATACTAATAAAATTTAATAAAAGCACTAGGAAAAGTGCCAAAGAAAAAGAAAAATATGTGTTAAAAACATTAGTTGCTGTAAGGCAGAGATGTCAGGGAGAAAATGTAATAAAGACTTCATTCCCCTAATTCCTACTAGGTCTCTTGGGAATACAGAATAAGCAGGAAATTTTTCTTTTCTTCTCAGACCAATGTCCTTCAGGGAAATCAGGTGCTGAGTGATTGGAGTCATGAGAGGAAATGTACCTAATGAGAAGAGAGGGAGCTAGAAATACATCCTGACATTTTCCCTCAAGGTTCAGGATCAGCTAGAACAAGACACAGTTGTCCCTTTTGAAGTCCTAAGATCCCTAAGTTTGGGTAGAGGACTAATGTTTCACTCCTTCCTGCTGTCTTGTTTGGGACAGAGCTTCAGTCTCCATCATCCACCATCCAGGGATGATCCCTGTCATCCACAAGGGTGACCCCCTTCTGAGAGACCCATCCAGGTGAGTCTGAGCCCACCCTCCCAGTGTGTCCTGAGGGAAAGGTACAACCTGGATGGACCTTACAAAATTTACCTGGTGTCACCTGAGAACCAAGTCAGCCTAGCCCAGAACTTAGAGATCACTTCATGTGTTACCTCACTTGATATTCTTAATATCTTAAGATGTTTAAAAGAGAAGTGGTTTTTAGACTCTGCAATGCACAAATCATAGACATTATCTGATCGGACTGGGAGCCCAGCTGGACACTGAATGAAGAAGTGGTGTAAAGTATTTCTAATGAAGATAGAATATATCAAAGGATGTTTGAATGAGCACAAAGGAAAATTAGTTTTAGGTGTGGAGGGATGTGCAATGAATTGAGGGTATATTTTGCTTAATCTTTAACATGTAGCATATTTGAGCATAATCATAAATGTAATAACACATGTATTGCCTTAGCTCAAGTCATGACGAGAACGCAGGAAGGGAGCTGTGGACATTGTAATCGAGATTTCACTTAATTTCATTTCTGTTACCTGGAACTGTGTCCAGTGTCAGAAGCATATGTGAGTCACTTTGTGTTTATACAGAGTGAAATTATAACTTAGAGAATGCTTCATCCACTGTCGCTAAGAAGAGTATTTTTTCAAATTTTATTTCCAAGTTTTGTCAATTAAGTCTTAAATTAAGAACACATCTTCTTTCATTAAACTGATTTACTTCAGATTTTTCATTGAGATATTATTTGCATTTTTAAATGTAATTGCTTTGAAGCCATTTACTTGCCTGATCATTTTCTTTACATCACAAACTAAATTTCCTAATTGTTTTAGTTATTTTAATCTTTGGGAAAACATAAAAGAAGCAGAGCACTTAAGATCTCTGCTCAAGTTGATCCCATGTTATCTTGGCAAATGCAATACAATGATGTAAATGAGTGCATGGTGCAGTAACCCCACAGTTAATCACATGAAGACAGAAGGCAGATTGTCCTGACAGGCACAGAATCTTACAGAGCCATGCTCAGAGTACTGGGGCCTCAGATCACCTGTTCTAAAATGGCAATAATACTTCAAATGTGCTGTTGATTTCATCTTGCTAGTATTTTGTTGAACACTGTTCCAGCTGTATTCATCAAGGATGTTTGCCTGTAATTTTTATTGTTGAATTATTCTCTAGCCCAGTTGTTACTCTTACAGTACAGACACCTGAAGGCTAAACCACAGGGGGAAATAAGGATGGATCATCTGTGATCCACAGGACACATCTGACATCAAAATTTTGCCTGAAGCTTTGTACATGAGTTTTCTCCTCCAATCTGAAATATATATGCATAGAATAGAATGATGGTGTTGGTGGAGAATTAGAGGGAAATGTGGAGTTATTTCTCAATGGATATAAAGTTATAGTTGTAACGTAGATTAATTTTTGGAACTGTGCTATACAGCGTAGCACCTAGTTCCAACACTAGGATATTGTTCACTTTAAATTGTTTGCCAAGTTAGGAGTGGCGAGGCACATCTGTAAAGCTAACACTCAGGTGGCTGAGCCAGAAGCAAAGTGAGTTCAAGGTTAGCCTGCATTACCTGCAAGACTCTGTCAAAAACCAAATCAAAAGCAAAGCAAATTGAAAGTAATATAAGTAGAAAGAAAAAATTTTATGGGGATTGATATCATCTTAAGTGTGTTATTGCAGAAAAACAGTAAGACAAAAACAAAAAATAACAGGGCACCAGTCCTCTCTTACTTGTGATTGTCATGTCTGTCACATGGATTGTGTGACCAGAGTGTGCATATGAACTCATTAATGTCATTGTACACATTACACATGTGCAGTTCTTGGTACGTGGGTCACATCTCAATATAGCTGCTTAAAACAAGTCATAAAGGACAACATGGAAATGAATGGCTCCCTACATCTGGAAATCTTAAAATTTCAGCATCTTCATGGAGGTCACTTCCTTCCTCAACATTCCTGGATGGGATGTCTTCATCATCTCCCTCATGCTCATGGTGGTTGCCACAGTGCCTTATTTTGAAATTTGTTATTTCATAAACGTGCTGACCTCAGGATCTTTACATTGCTCATGCCTCCTGCCAGCCACAGGCATCTGCAGGTAACTGTGTGGCTCCATCTCAATTCCTTAAAGCCTCTTCAATGTTATCTTGCTTACCTGGCTGTCCTGGAGCCTGTCAAAGCACCATCATCTCTTCCTTCTCTTGCCCACTCTTTATTCATACTAATTATTACCATCTCATAGATTGATAATTTCTCTTCATTTTTAACTGATATATAAAAATGATATGTATTAGATGTAATGTGATAATTTGGCTAACTCTAAACATTATATAATGTTCAAATCTAGCTATTCCCTCAAACATGTATCATTTATTTAAACTGAATACATTCAAATCCTCTTCTATGTCTTTTTTTTAACTAATTCTTTTATTTACTTGAATTCTTTTTCCATGAAAGGTCCATAAAGACTTTTATTTCTCAGTAACCTTTACTTATTCTCTGGGAAATGCTAAAAATATGTTTGTAATTCAATTTACATTTCTCAAGTGCATAAAATAATTGCTTATTATAAACTGAATCCAATAGATTTAAGAAAGGATAATGATATAGGGGGTGAATTCAAGTATATATTTTATATATTGTAAGAACTTTCATAAATGTCACAATTTTACCACCAGCACAACAATTAAAAAAAGAAAAAATGCAGAGATGGAGAGGAATTTGTAATCAGAAATGTCAAAAGCTGTCTTACAGGGACAGGTACAAAACATAGTCATGTTATTTTCCTCTTTTCTGGTAGTCACACGGTTCATGGAACCACAAAACTATACCCAAATTTCAGAATTTCTTCTTCTGGGATTTTCAGAACAACAAGATCTTCAGTGTCTCATATATGGGATCTTCCTTTCCATGTACCTGGTCACTGTGTTTGGGAACCTGCTCATCATCCTGGCCATAATCTCAAACTCCCCTCTGCACACACCAATGTACTTCTTCCTCTGTAACTTGTCTTTTGTCGACATTTGCTTCACATCTACCACTGTCCCAAAGATGTTGGTGAATATCCAGACACAGAGCAAGGTCATAACTTACGAAGGTTGCATCATGCAGATTTATTTTTTTGCAACTTTTGCAGGGTTGGATGACTTCCTCCTGGCTGTGATGGCCTATGACCGTTTTGTGGCCATCTGTCATCCCCTGTACTACATGGTCATCATGAAACGCCAGCTTTGTGTGTTGCTGGTTATTGTGTCCTGGGTCACAAGTACTCTGAATGCCCTATTACAAAGCTTTGTGGCATTGCGGCTGTCCTTCTGTACGGAGGTGGAAATCCCTCACTTTTTCTGTGAACCTTATCAGTTGGCTCACCTTGCCTGTTCTGACATATTTCTTAATGACATGGTGATATATATGACAGCTATGCTCTTTGCTCTTGGTCCCCTCAGTGGCATCCTTTACACTTACTCCAAGATAATTTCCTCTATCCATGCAATCTCATCAGCTCAAGGGAAGCACAAAGCATTTTCCACCTGTGTATCTCACCTCTCAGTTGTCTCCTTATTTTATTGCACAGGCCTAGGAGTGTACATCAGTTCTGCTGTGACCAAAAGCTCACATTCAATTGCAATAGCCTCAGTGATGTACGCTGTGGTCACCCCCATGCTGAACCCCTTCATCTACAGCCTGAGGAGTAAGGACATCAAGAGGGCTCTGAAAAGACACTTTGAGAGAGAAACTAGCAAAGTGCTCATTGTCTGGGGACTGAAAGAGTGAGCACAGAGCCAAAAGTTTTAGAATTAAAAATACAATACCTGATCCAATGTGGAAATACTTCTTGATCCTTCGATTTTCAGAATTTTCTATTTATTTGATTTCAACTTGTGTATTCAATTTATGTTACCCAGTTTATCAAGGCTCTGCTTCCACTGATGTTGAACCAGTGTTTACTTTATCAATTTGATGTTTCCTCAAAGCTTTTTTCTACCAAGAACTGGAAATATTGGAAATTCCCATTTGTCTCATGGTCAACATGGAATTCTTCTGAATAATCTCTTCTGCAATACCATAGACCAAAGTGGTGGTTTTCTTTTCTTGATTCTAAAAATCATAATCTTGTGATGTGGTGTATTCCTCCTATGGGAAAAATTATACTTGATAACTAAGACTGTTCACATAATTTTGCCCTAAAGAAAATCATAAGAGCACAGCACTGCTCTAGAATACTCATTGTTCCTCAGACATCACTATGCTAACTGCTTTTCCTGATTATGCAGGTTTAACAGACTATTGTGTATCATAGCTGATCATTAGCCATTCTTCTCATCATTAGGAATCCATTTTCTTATTCATTTGGTATACACAGTAGCTACAGTTGTCACTTTGGAATGCAGACTATTATATAGACATCTCCAGTTGAAATCTACATGGAAAGATTGGCTTCTTTTCTCTTTTTTTTCAACATTTTATTAGTATATAATATTTCTATAGGGAGGTTTTGTTGTGACATTTACCTATAGGCATACAATGTAATTCAGTTCGGTTCCTTCTCTATATTATTACTCTCTTCTCCCTCCCCCTTCTTAAAATAAATTTGACAGGTTTCAATATTCTATATTCTCACATTAATAAAAAATACATCAACTATTTTCACCCCCTTCACCCTATTATTTACACTCCCCCTTCTGATACTTCCCTCCCCTGAACATGACTTGTTTTATATTCCTTTCCTTTATTGTTTAAGTGTTTGCTTATTTTTGACTAGGGTTTTGCCTTGGTATTTTACCTGTAAATATATTGTACTTTAATCACTCTAACCACCCTCTCTTTACTTTTCCATACCCTTTTTTCTCATACCCTGTATTAGCCAACAGTTTTTGGTGCATTTCATTGTATGGAAAGATATTTTGAAGTAACATATTGATTAATTTCACCTCACAATGAGAAAGCATTTTAAATGGGAAGACATAAGGTCTATGTTAAACACTGTATTGCGATGACAGGCATTTCTATTTTGTACAATTGTTAAAGTCACTGATGTCCAGTGTAAGGAAAGGAGTTTACTCATTGAAATTCAGTTGCATGTTTTTTTTTCCATTTTGTGTCATGTATTTACTGTACCTAAATTCATTGTGACAATTCTGAATAGCCTTACATTGTACATTGTTTAAATTGACCTCATCATCTCCCTCCTGCAACCCCATAACAACTCCACTTAAAGCAATTGCAAGAGGTTTTATCATTCTATTCCATATATGCAAATAAATGCCTTCAGCATTTTTAATCACCTTCATCTCCTTCTTTCACCCTGCCCCTCCCAAAAGTACAAACCCACACATTGTATTTATTTTCATTCCTGCCTTCCATTATTAATTTCAAAGACGTTATTCAACAAGGTTTCTCTATTTATCACTGATGTGAATATACTTTACTTGGGTCAGTTCAATCCCATCTATTACTCTCCCTTACTGCTCCCTCCAATCCTCCATTATTCAACAGTTTTCAATACATAGTGTTATATCCTCCATCTGCACAGGTATAATGTGTCTTGATATTTTTGACTTTCTATCATTCTCTTTTACTTTCCTTCTTACCCCAGGTTCCATAGAGTGGTTCCACTATTATAAACATGTTATTCATGTGAATGGGAACATGACCACTCTTGTTTCATGTATGTATTTATCTGTTGGATATATTTTTCAAGCATGAGAGAAAACATGAGGTCCTCCAATTGCATCCATTTACATTCAAACCACATAGTTCCATTCTTCCTTATTGCTGAATAAAACTCCACTGTATATATGGAATGGCTGTACTAGTTTACATTCCCCTCAACAGTGTATAAGGGCTCCTGTTTCCCTGAATCCTCACTGGCTTTTGTTGGTGTTTCTGTTCATTAAGATCGCCATTCTACCCTGGGTGAGATGAAATCTTAGTGTACTTTTAATTTGAATTTCTTTAATGGCCAGGGAAGTTCAACACTTCTTCATGTACCTATTGGCCATTATTACCTCTTTTGAGATTTCCCTATTTAACGCATGTGCCCACTTCTTCATTGGGATGTTGATTCACTCAGGGTTAAGTTTCTTGAGCTTCCTGTAGATTACGGATATTAGTCTCTTATTGGATGAATACCAGGCAAAGATTTTCTCCCATTCTATGAGCTGTCTTTTGAGTCTAGTGACTGTATTTTTACTGTGCAGAAGAGTTTTATCTTGATGCAGTGCCATTTGTTCATCCTTTCTCTTAATTGCTGAGCCATTCACATTCTATTTAGGAAGCCATTGCCTATGCCTATATGCTCCAGTGTATTTCCTACTAATTCCAGTAGTTGTACTGAGGTCTTTGATGCACTTTACTTTGATATTTGTACAAGGTAAAAGACAGCGTTCTAGTTTCAGTCTTTTACATGTAGATATCCAGTTTTCTCAGAAACATTTATTGAAGAGGCTCTGTTTTCTCCATCATGTATTTTGGGCTGCTTTGTCAAAAATCACTTGGTGGTAGCTGTGTGATTTTTTTTGTCTGAGTCTTCTCTTCTGTTCCATTGGTCTTCCTCTCTGTTTTTATTGCTATGGAACTGTACTACAGATTGAGATCAGTTATTGTGATATCTCCAGCACTGGACTTTTTGCTCAGAATTTCTTTGGCTATTTGTGATCTTTGGGAATGATTTTTGTATCTCTGTGAAGTATGCCCTTGGAATTTTTATAGGGCTTGAATTGAATATGTAGATTGACATTGAGCATGTAGGTGACTTAGCAGTACAGCAATCATCACAATATTGATATTGTTGATTCACAAGTGTGGGAGATATTTCAATCTTGTGAAACTGATGGAATTTCTGATCAGATGCTGATCAATTTTCTGATGTCTCTTCAACTTCTTTCATCAGTGAATTACAGCTTTCATTGAAAGGTGTTTTATCACAACAATAGGATTGGACTTTGAGCACATAATAAAAGCGAGAGCACACAAGGGAGGGGTGAGGATAGGTAAGACACCTAAAAAATCAGCTAGCATTTGTTGCCCTTAATGCAGAGAAACTAAAGCAGATACCTTAAAAGCAACTGAGGCCAATAGGAAAAGGGGACCAGGAACTAGAGAAAAGGTGAGATCAAAAAGAATTAACCTAGAAGGTAACACACACGCACAGGAAATTAATGTGAGTCAACTCCCTGTATAGCTATCCTTATCTCAACCAGCAAAAACCCTTGTTCCTTCCTATTATTGCTTATACTTTCTCTACAACAAAATTAGAAATAAGGGCAAAATAGTTTCTGCTGGGTATCGAGGGGGTGGGGGGAGAGGAAGGGGGCGGAGTGGGTGGTAAGGGAGGGGGTGGGGGCAGGGGGGAGAAATGACCCAATCCTTATATGCACATATGAATAATAAAATTTTAAAAAAGGTGTTTTATTATCTTCATTAAATTTCTTCCCAGGTATTTTGAGGCATTTTTTAAATGGGAATGTTTCCCTGATTTCTTTCTCAGTCTCATCATGTTTGTATACAGAAAATCTATTAGCGTCTGTATATTAATTTTGGATCCTGTTACTTTAGCAAAAGAGTTTATGATTTCTAAGAGCTTTTTGATGGAGTATAAGGGTCTTTTAGATATAAGATCATATCATTTTAAATTGGGATAGTTTGACTTCTTCCACCCTTATTTGCATTCCTTTATTTCTTGTTCCTGTCTTACTGCTCTGGCTATGAATTCCAAAAATATATTGGAAGGGAGTGGGGAAAGTGAAGGTCCTTGTGTCTTTCCTAACTTTAGCAAAAATGGTTTCATTTGGTCTCCAATTAGTATAATGTTTACTATAGGTTGGTCGTATATTATATTGAGGAACGCCCTTTCTCTTCCTAGTTTCTTCAAACTTTTATCATGAAAGCATGCTGAATTTTGTCCAGCACTTTTTCTGCATTAATTAAGATATCATGAGATTTTTGTCTTTGCTTCTGTTTATATGCTGAATTACATTTATTGATTTCCTTGTGTTGAACCATCCCTGCATCTCTGAAATGGTCATGGTGTATGATCTTTTTGATATGTTGTTAAATTTGGTTGCCCAGTATTTTGTTGAGAATATTTGCATCAATATTTATTAAGATATTGATCTGTATTTCTCTTTTTTATTTAATCTTTCTTGGGTTTTGGAATGAGTATAATACTGACTTTGTGGAATGAGTTTGGTAGTGTTCTTTCCCTTTTTAGTTTCTGGAAAAGTTTGAGGAGCTCTGGTGTTAGTTCTTTAAAGATCTGGTAGAATAAAATCATTAATCCACTGGGTTATGGGCTATACTTTCTTAGGACTAAAGAGAAAATTAGGGGACAAAAAATGCAAAACTGCTGTTGGAGTGTACAGAAAAGGAAGATACAGATAAACAAATAATAACTCTTCATGAAATGAAGACAAAAAACCCAACTTACCAGAACTTTAGAGATGCAGCAAAGGTAGTTATAAAATGGAAGTTTATAGCTATGAGTGCCTACACAAAAAATAAGAGAAATCCTAAACAAACAAATGAAATAGCTCAAGGTTTTAATAAAGCAAGAACTAGTGAAACCCAAAGTTAGTACAAAGGACTAAATAATAAATACCAATGCAGAAAATAATGTAATTAATTCTAACAAAGTAGTGCAAAGAATTAATGAAACAAAGAGTTGGTTCTTGGACAAGATAAAGAAGATTGGCAAACCCTTAGCCAAACTGACCAAATGATAAAACAGAAGGCCCAAATAAATAAATTTAGAGAAGAAAAAGAGAACCACAAAA